AACTAAATAAAAATAAATGAATCATCTTGAGATAATTATTATCACAAATATAATTAAAAAACTTGATATGTATATTGGGTTGTTTGGGAAAGATTGAAACGCAACGCATTTAAATTTTTTCTTTTTTGGGTGTATATTTATAAGTGCCATTATGTTCCACAATCTTTTATCATCTTTACAAATTTTGTCCTTTCAGAATTTTTCAGGTTTTTATGCAACAAAATTGTATGCAACCTACTGAAAATCAGCACGAACTTTCCGGACAACTCAATATACAGGGTGATCTGTAAACTGGTGGTTCAAGCGAAAAAGGAGGTGATTCTACATGAAAAAATAAATCGAAAATGTAGAATAACAATTTTTCGTTTGAGACTTTGTTTTCGAGAAAATTCAATTTGAATTTTTGCAAAGTACGCGTGCATTTGATCGTGTCTCGTTATAACGGACCTACGAACTTTTCAGAAATATCCTACGAACTTTTCAGAAATATCCTACGAACTTTTCAGAAATACCCTACGACTTTTTCGGAAATACTCTACAAACTTTAAAGTCGATTTTCTCGAAAACAAAGCCTCAAACGAAAAATTGTTATTCCATATATATCGATTTATCTTTTCATGTAGAATCACTCCCTTTTCGCTTGTACCACCAGTTACAGATCACCCTTTAAATAAAAATATTTTAAATATAGATTTCCTCGTAAGTATTTATGAAACAAAAAATAAAATATCATCGTTTAGTTCGTTATTGATCTTGCCAACATAAGATTCCGAGAAGTTGAGTCGAACACCGTCGAATACGTCCAGTTGTAAAGATGACGTTCGAGATATCAAATGTTGAGGCGGTGCCGGTTATAGTCGTGAGCAGCCGCCGCCGTCGTTGCTGACGCCGCTGTTCGATGATCGTTTCGTGCCTTCGAATCCTGGACTCGTGGTCTGACAGCCGGCACCGTCATTACACGATGACTCGCCCAATGGAAAAGGAGAGTTCAACGAAGAAGCGTAGGAGAAGAGAAAAAGAGAACAAGAGAAAGAGAAAGAGATCGATCAATCCTATCGTTTTCTTTTTATTTATCTCTCTCGTTCTATCTTAAATACAACCCTTATCCACCCCACCCCACCCCCCTCCTACACTTCTACCTCAACCCGATCTCCAGTTTCTTCTCATTCCCGCCCCCCCTCACCCACCCACCCCCCAGTTTCTTCTCTGTTTCTCTCAGTGAATCGAAAACGTGCGATGGAGAGTGTAAGTCGCCAGGTTTCGCAAGCCAACGTTCTCGATCTTCTAGAGGATGGATCATGATCTTTTGTTCATGATCGACGCGTAAAAACGATCCCTGAGAATAAGTGTAAGTACTTAACACTTTGATCGAGGTAACAACGCTGTTTCTGACCCCGTAACAAAGTTGCTTTGCCTTGCTTTGCTTTGCTTTCGATTCCTCAATCTCATAACAATAATCTTGACTATATTATTATCGTTATTTTAGATCTATCAATCCTCTGTTACTTTGAATCGACATTTTCGTGTTATTTATCAAATAAAAAAGATATTATTTATATTATATATATGTAATCTTTTAAACGTTGTGTTTCTGATATTTCTGACACTGAAGTCTACGATCATTATTATTAATGAATGACAAGATTTGCAATCAACATCATCTTCGTCAGGTTTTGGCGTTGAACTTCCACCACCAATATCCACATGAGAGAACACTCACTGATCAGTTATTTGCCAAGGTAAAAAAACGTTCCTAATTTAATCGAAGGCGTGTTCTGAGGAGAAACCGATCTTGCTATTTATGTCCATGTTGGTTCTATTGTTCTCGTATCATTTATGGTAAGTTATTCGTTTTTTTTTATTTATATGGTAAAATGGACTTTTTAATAATGATATATATATATATATATATTTGGGTGAATAAAAAATTCGTGGCTTTATTGTGTGTAAAATTGTACTTAGTAAAAATTGCGTAATGTTTTTTTTTTTTTTGTGAAATCTACTTTTATTAATTTAAAAATGCAGGTATGATAGGAAATAAATTTTGATTTTTTTTATATTAAAAATCTTTGTTTTAAATAATTTATATTATTTTGTATTAATTTTATATTTATTTTATATTATATTCAATTATAATTTTTTTATATTATATTATTTTATATTATATTCAATTATAATCTCTTTATATTATATTATTTGATATATTATATTTAATTATAATTTTTTTATATTATATTATTTGATATTAAATTTATTTATAATTTTTTTATATTATATTATTTTATATATTACATTTAATTATAATTTTTTTATATTATATTATATTTGATATTACATTTAATTATAATTTTTTTATATTATATTATATTTGATATTACATTTAATTATAATTTTTTTATATTATATTATTTCATATATATTAATTTTATATTATATATAAAATCTTTATTTTTATTTAAAATAATTTATTTATACCAATTGCATAAATTATTATTATTTCAAACTAATGTTAATCACATCGTTAAAACAATAATCAACAATGTTACAAAACTTTCATTTCAATAATTCAATTTAATAACCAATATGAAAAACATTGATTCTCATCATCGGCCAAAAAAAAAAAAAAGAAAACAAAGATCGTCCAAAGGGTTAATATTGGAAATCGAAGCCAGGAAGGTATATCTCCTTCGACGAGATTGAGTTTTCGGAACGGAAGGGTGCAAAGAGTCTAAAAAAAAAAAAAACAAAAAAAAAAAAAGAATAGAGAAAGAGAAAAGAGAAGAGAGAAGGGGACAGTCACCATAATGCGTGTGATCAAAGCGACCGGTACTCGGTGATGTCTCTCGCTGGCATCGTCGTCTCACCTTTAATAAAGCTATCTCGCATCTCTAATATCTTATGGTGTATCGGTCAAGAACGAAACCGCGAGTACGAATGAAAGAAAAAGAGAGAGAGCGAGAGAGAGAGAGAGAGAGAGAGAGAAAGAAGATCCGTGACTTTCTTTGCCAGAGAGACGCGTTCCAACGCCTTTCTACAACGAGGCCTTGTTCGCCAAGCCGAGAGAAAAGACACCTTAACTGACGTACCACCATGTATATTATATATACACATTCACACATAAACACATATACATACATACTTATACATATACATAAATACCTTTTGGAGTCTCTTTGGATTCGAGCAGCTCTTTCTGCTTCTATCTCTTTTTTTTTCTTTTTCTTTTTTTTTGTATACACTTCTCTTTTTCTTCATGGGTTAGCTGAAGTAAACCTGCCCGAGTTAATACACTTACCGATGGTTATCAACGAGCCCACGTCAATTAAGCAATTATCGGCACCACCTCGGCTTCACAGAGAGTGCATTTCGGGGATCTAAACTAATGTTGACTCACCTTCTCTCACTTACTTCGAACCCAAGTGTGCTTTTGATTCGTCCTTTTTTTTTCTATTCTTAAAAAAAAAAACCAATTCCTATTTAACGAGAACTTATTTTACCAATTGACAATCATAGATTCATTTTAAAAAAAATACAATTACGTGTTAAATCGTTTGATAATTTACGATAAATCATCAAATTTCTGTGATGTTAATTTTGAATCTATTTTTTTTTTTTCTAATTTGTTATATAATAAATAATATATTATTATTAATTGAAATAATTGATAACGCGTAATGAATAAATATTTGATTCGAAATGTTTAATCAAATTCACGGTTTTGATGATTTACGTAATTATTGGTACATGTCAACGTAACGAGCATCCCTCATATCGTTGCAGTGTGTAACCCTTGCACTTATCGCACGTGTGACACGCGTGTACCAATTTACTAGCTCGATAGACTAGATCTAGGAGATAAAGGATAAGGTTGATTGACGCCTAAGTGAAAAGACGATACACGTTGGATCAACGATGATTATTATTATCCTTCGAATTGAAATATTCAGTTGTTTGGAAAGTACTTTTGTTTTTTCTTGATACAATTTTGCAATTAGTTAATGCACATTGGCAAATGAAAACACGTGAAATCATTGAATGTTGAAATTTATCAAATTAAATTATTTAAACCCATTCGAGAAATTCTATGTTTAATCTCGAAACAAAATGTGTCTTCATTTTAACGAAAAATAACACGAAATTAATAATAGAACATTTCTATATTATTCTTTATGTATAACTAAGGGGTGCCCTGCCACGCGTTGCCTGTGGCTTACACTTTAAGTCAACGAATTACCTTATACCACCTTATTGCGATTATAAATTGAGAAATAAACTATCCTATCTTTCAAGTTAGATGAAACTGCACACAGTGTGCAAAATTTGATTAAAATCAGTTCAGTAGTTTAGGAATGCATTGCGGACAAACAACGTGACACGTAATTTATATATATTAAGAAGAAGATAAGATAACAAAAGAATAATAATTATTATTTAATATCTATAATATTAGCAACATAGTAAAGTATTTTATTCAAATATATTTACCTGTTATCATCAGCAGCAAGTAGTCAAGTTGCATTCCACGAAGTTTCAATACGATGAAAAAAAGAGTGATGAAGGATTATTGAAATGAAAATTATTAGGGGATAGTAGTAATTCCAATAAGAATTACAGTAAAGTAGTACTCATTGAAATAATTTCCTTTTTGCACGGCCTTTATTGCGATCAAACGTGCGGATTGTTTAAACGACACGAACGTCATTTTCGCAGGAGAGGTAAAAATTTGCTGCTTTAAATTTGCTCGCTCACACACGTCCTTCAATTCTTTTTATTTATTTAATTATTTATTTTTTTTTTTTTTAATTAAACTCATGGATCGAAAAGCATGTTCTTTTTTTTTTTATTATATTTTTTGTTGTTGTTGTTGTCTTCGTTGATCGTTACTTTACGTACTTTATATATATACACACGTGTACGTTCGGCAACCCATTCGTTTTCATGCTATTGCAATGGGGGGGAAATCGATTCTCTCCCGATTTATTTATTTATTTATTTATTTATTTTTTTTTTTTTTATTATTTTGTTTCTTTTACGTAACACACCTTATCGCCCGCTGCAGCTCGTTCATTTAAATCGATCTCTCTCTTGAATAAAAATCGATACCTATCACGCTTTTATCTTCAACGATTTATCTCGAGAGGATCGGCTTACAAGAAACGTTCCTCGTAAATCAACGAGCGTGTACTACTAATCTTTACTACATTACTATTTACTTAATAATCATAAATCTATAATCAATTGTGTGTGTGTGTGTGTGTGTGTATGTACTGTTTTGTGTATGTATGTATGATAAGAAGACAGTCGTCGGATCGCTAAGGCCGAGTAATAGCTAAACTCTCGGTTTTGTTTTTTTTTGTATTTTTTTGTTTTTGGTAATAATAATAATAATAATAATAATCAAACGATAATTAAAATATGTGTCGTCGCATCAATCGCAGCGATTATCACGAATGAATTTATTTACAAGAATTAATATACAGATTAACACGAATACGCTATTAACGTGTAATGTGTGTTTTTCTTATATCATTCTCACCACTTCCTCCTCATCTTTCCGCATTTATATATATATATATATTTTTATGGTTGTGTGTGTGTTTGTATTTGTGGGTGTATGTAAACGCATAAGTAATATGTAAATATGTGTTGTCTTTTTACCGATCTTCTCCGAATCGTAGTAGCATCGCTTGTTCGATATGCAAAGGATTATTTTCTTTCGCGAATGAAGGAGAGCTCTCAAACAAACAAAAAAAGAGAAAGAGATAAAGAGAGAAAGATAGAAAGAGAAGAGAAGAAGAATAAAAATTAAAATTAACAAAAAATAATATGACTTAACGTATGTACATACGTCATGCGATGATTTATAACGAAACTCGCGAACGGTTACCCGAGACTCGCGCGACCCTTTTTCATTCGTTTTACGTATAGTAGTACTTCTTCCCTTTCTCCACTTTCCAACACCCTTCGTTCTCCCTCTCTCTCTCTCTCTTTCACACTTTAAGTTTAACGAAAAGAAGAAGAGAAGAAAAAAAGTTTCGTCATAAACGCCGCATGAATAATTCAACGAGTTCCTCCTCTCACGGTAGATACGATAATGATAAGCGATGCTCCGGTAACGATAATGGTTCGTAATGCTAACCGTAACGGTGATAATAACAAGGACTCTCGCCTATCATAAACGAGGAAGTGTCGACTTATTGCACACCGATATTTACATCGTTTATGTATATATATATATATAATCTATTAAATCGAATCACCCGAGGTACGTTATACATCAGTATATACGTTTAATTATATCGTTCGTTTCGTCACACACAACACCTTCTTCTTTTTCATTTTATTTTTCTTGTTATTCTTCTTATTCTTTTGCCACACTTCAATCATCATCATCTTCTGGGGACTATCACTCTCTCTCTCTCTCTCTTAGACGAAGTTGAAGGTATCTTAATCGTTAACGAAGTATCTCCTGGACGAAGTAGAAGATCTCGCACTATAATAATCCACGGGCATCCTGTATGTTTCCTCTGGGCATTGATACCTGTAACAATTAATCCAAATAATAATATCAATAAATGTATGACAATATTCTAATGAAAATGTTCGATAAGAATTAACAATAACAATAACAACAAATAATCGATGACGATGAAAATTATGAGTACTTAAGTATTAATGCCACCGCGTAGTAAAAATTCCGTTAATGCGCTAATAATGAGCAACCTTGTTGTTTGCACATAGCAATCATCAGGGTTTCGTCAGGGTTGCGTCAAGATTGCGTCAGGGTTTCTGTTCAGTACCATATCTTTTGTAGATGATAAACTTAATATTTTTTTTGGCTGGAAAATGGGCCGATATAGAATTTAACATAGATTCAAAACAGTTTCTATTGTATTTCCTTCACCTGATGCTGTCGCCATATGAACTCTGATAAATAAAATTCCAAATGATGTTTCGCAACTTGTTCTGTTTTTGGCAAATTCCAAATACGTATTTTCGTAGCACTAAAAAATGACGAAACCCTGACATAACCCTGACAAAACCCTGACGGTTGCTATGTGCAAACAACAAGATTGCTCTTTATTGGCGCATTAGCGGAATTTTTGTTACGGTGTTATGGCGTTAATACGTAAGTACCAAATTATGGTTTATATTTTTATCGAATATATTCGCGTATGAAGAAAAATATAAAGTGTGGAAGAATATTTCGCGATGGTGGTTAGCGGTAGCCGCGTCATCAGGAAGAAGTACATTGCTGTAGGTAGAAGGTAGAGGTCTGTCCCTTTGCGTGAAAAGTTGTATTGGTACACACACACTCTCTTCCTCTCTCTCTCTCTCTCTCTCTCTTTTCCATGGTGGAACGGCCACCGTCGGTGGACGTTTAACATATGACCAGCTACCAGTGTTATTAATGCGACGGTAGCGTCGTGCTCGGTATCTTCTTCTGAGCCCACGTACGTTGCTTACGAGAAAGAAAGAAAGAAAGAGATAAATAAATAAAGAAAGAGAGAGAGAGAGAGAAAGAGAGAGAGGGAGAGAAGCAAGGGCCACCCGCGGCTCCTTGCTCTCGCGCGCGCGACGTCAAGAAAGTTAGAAAGAGAGAGAGAGAGAGATATAAGTGGAATGGGCCCTTCTAATATCTCTTTCTCTCTCTCTCTCTCTCTCTCTCTCTCTGGAAAGAAGGAAGGACTCGAATCAGACCCATCGACTCCGGAGAGACGTAACACGAGACTCGGAAAGAGTGCGGGGCACGATCTCGCGCGAGCGAGCCGACAACTTTTTGGACCCCATCCTTTGGTACCAGGAGTTATGTCTTCCTGCCCGTATGTCAGCTAATTAATATGTGTTTAGGCCTGGAATGCGACCCTACGACGAATCCTTACATTGATTTTAATTTTTCTTTCTTTTTTTTTTTAACCCCTTCCCTTTTCTCAGTGGAATTTGTTCTTGTGTTCTACATCCTTCGAGAGATTTCTCTATCTCAGTATCCCTTCTGAGAGTTTGGAATTTGATCATCCTCTTAGGACCACCGATACATACCTGTATGGTGGTTAGTTTCGAATTTGATTTTATCATGGTCGAATCATTCTCGATTTATTAGTATGTACCCTTCGCACCTTCGGAGAGCTGCTGCTGCTGCTGTTGCTGTTGCTGTTGTTGTTGTTGTTGTTGCTGCTGGTTCATCGTCAAAAATTCATCGTGGGTGTGCCCACCTGTCCTGGGCCTTTTCTCTCTTCCACGAAAGAGAAAAAAAAACAGATACAACAGTAAGGAAGAAAAGAGAGAGAGAGAGAGAGAGAGAGGAGAATGAACATCGTGGTAGAGCCGAAGAATCGGAGAGAAGCAAAATATCTTTGCTGGTCGGTCAGACATTAGGAGTTCTCCGGGGTCCGGGGGATTATAAATCCTTAATACAGATCGGCACGCGATGCCCGGCTCGTTAAGGTGATACATGGCCGACTCTGGTGTCCTGGGGTGTACGGTAGCCACTATCCTCGCGTTTATTCGTACGTACGACTTACGTACGTTTACTTACTTACTTGTGCGTGTTTCTTCTCGTCTATGGGAATCAACTACACCCACACGTTTGCCAAGCCACCGTGGTAATAATGAGAGATCGGACGATACGGCTCCGATATTAATTGTGGGCATCGAGTGTGTGCCGTTGCTGCTGTTACTGCTGCTGTTGCTGTTGCTGCTGCTGCTGTTGCAGTTGCAGTTGCTGTTTCTGTTACTTTCTCTTCCTTTCTCTCTCTCTCTCTCTCTCTTCGTTTCCGAGACCATGCCGTGAAAACCGACTGCTACCGGCTTACACCGATCCTTCGATGCGATATGTCGCGATATACGATACAGGAACGATCGTGATTCTGATTCACAGATCTATCTTTCTCTTCTCTCTATCTCTATCTTTCTTATTTCCATTGAAAAGCACCATCTCAACCATTCCGATGAGTAAAAAAAAAAGAGAGAGAAAGAGAGGGAAGTTCGTTCCTAAGCCAATCGTTTTTATTTGATCGGAATCAATGTCTCTCCAGGTATTCCTATATCTTCTGCTTATTTTCTTTTTCTTTCTTTCTTTCTTTCTCTCTCTCTATCTTTCTCATCAACTCGCCGAATGAATCTTTCACTCAATCAGCTTAATCGCTAACATTAACGAATACCTTTCTAGATCCTGAAGAGGTCTAACTAGTTAGCAAATGACGAGGTTTCAAAGTTGCACGTAGTTTACGTCAACTTTTAGACGTTGGTAAGTTTTTGTTTTTTTTTTTTTTTCAAGAAAAGATAAGAAAGCTAAAGATTAGAAAAAAGAGCAAAACAAGGAGGTAAGAAGAGAGGAATATCGATGCTGCTACTGCTACTGCTGGTGATGGTAGTGGTGGTGGTGGTGGTGATGGTGGTGGTGTAGATAGACGACGAGTAAGAAGAAAATAAGAAAAAGAATAAGGGTGGTAGTGGGAAGGGGGTTGGAGAGAAAAAAAAAGGAAATCGTGATAGACGCGAAGACAAGGGGAATCACCAATCCTGGCTCGTCCTTTCGTCGGTGATTACGAGGAGTGGACAGATTGAGATGGTCCTAGGGCTCCTCCTCCTTCTTCTTCTTCTTCTTTTTTTCTTTTTTCGTCCTTTCTGTCGAGCGGTGTTTCCGCGACTCTCTTCTTCTTCTTCTTGTTCTTCTTCTCTTCCTCTCTCTTATCTGCTTTTTTTTTGTCTTCTTCTTCTTCTTCATCATCTACTATCTCGTTCTCTCAAACTGACTCTCGAATCATCTCATTCCCTCTTTCCTACCATCGACGAGGACGAAGAGCCACTTTGAAGATACGATCTCGAAACAAATTACGAGTCCTGCTCCTGCCGTTTTCTCCTCTTTCGCAGCTGGATTAAAATAATCGTGGCCCGTTAGCGGTCCAAAGCCCAGTATCGTTTTCCGTACTTTTTATTTTTATTTCTTTTCTTTTTATTTATATTTTCCTTTTCTTCTCAATCCTTTCTCAGCAAACAAAATCGACTAACACGAATTGAAATAAATATATGCAACAAATGATCATGAAAAATGATAATCACAAATCGGAATGTCGTGTTTTCTACAAATGTTGTTCACTTTTAATGAATCGAAATGAACAGGTAAAATGGTTAACTTAGTGTAACGTTAGTTAATACTCAAGTTTGAGATATAATTTATAATAATTCACAGAGTATCGGTTTTAAATTAACAAACTTTCGAGTTGTTTCATAAAATCGATGTGACAAAATCTGTTTGAAAAAAAATTATTTATCACGTGGTATAAGTTATGATGCATATATGATAAAATATAAATAAAATAAGATAGTAAAGAAGATCAGATGAATTAGTTATCTTTCGAATAAGATAAAAAGTTAAAAACAAATTTTAATCTTCTCGTTGCGATTCGTAAATCTTAGAAGAGAATAAAAGACACACACACACAAACACACACTCTAAGAATATTCTTGCATCTACAGAAAATACTAGTGTATATATATATAGGTTTCGTTCTTGGACGGTCCATCGTTCTTTTCCGATCCGGATTACGGTAACACCTGCCCATCCGCAATTTTATCATCCTCCGTCCCGGAAGGATTTCAATTTTCTTCTCCCTACGATCTTGCCGCCTTTCCCTTTTCTTTCTCTCTTTTTTTTTCTCTCTATCCATGGCTCTTCTTTCTAGCGATGCTCCTACTATTCGCTTTTTTCTACCCAGTAGAGTCCTAGGGACTCAATCTGTGTCTCATCGTGGATTATTGGGATTTCATGAGGATGAGGATGGAAGAAGGACATGGCTGGCTGGCTGACTGGTCGGTTAGTTGGTTGGTTGGCTAACTGGTTGGTTGGTTGGTTGGTTGGTTGGTTGGTTGGCTGACTGACTGACTGGTTGGCTTGCTAGCTAGCTGTCTGGTTGGCTGACTACTTGCTGTTGGCTTGATTTCCTGTCTGAGCCAAGAAGAAAATCGTTCAACGGAGGAAAAGACTGTCCGACGAAAACGAGACTTTAATTCTTTCTCTTCGTAAAGCCTCGACTTCATTTAGAAACGAAATAAGGATCAGTGGATTCTACTATTAGTAATAGTAGTAGTAGTATACTATCCTTTCGTCGTCTTTATGTCCTTTTTTTCCTTTGCTTTTTATTTTAACGATAAAACGTTTTTCCTTTTACGTTGAAATTCTCTCTCATTTCTCTTTTTTTTTGTGTTTTTTTTTTTTTATTACCCAAGTACCAACGCTATAGAAATTTATCAGCATGGTTGTAATTAACTTGTGTATGTAATTTGTTACTTAAAAATATGATTACAAGTTATCAAATAATTTATCATAATTATCTCTAATTCTAAACATAATTAACGTAAGAACTTAAAACTATTTCATTGAAACAGGAAGAAATAGAAATAGAAATAGAAATAGAAATAGAAAAGAGAAACGATCGATTACGTTTACAGTATGAAACATCAAAGAGAGCTTTTCTGCCAACATTAGCACGTATAAAATAACCATACTACATATATACATACCACAAGCAGTATCCTTTT